TAGAAAATAAAAATATCATACTGCATTACAAAATACAATTACTGTACTACAATAAACCAATACAATTACTGTACTACAATAAACCAATTTATGTAATATTTTAAGACTTGCACTACTATTAGTAGGTGGTGAAAAATGACAATTGAATTTTAGTCAATTTTTATTTAAAAATTTATTTCACTCAAAAATATGTTGTATACAATAATTAAAAGAAAAAGAAAAAATAAGTTTTGAATGAAAATTATGTAGAGTAAACAAAAAAATCGTATATGTGCGCCTTATAATTTATCTGTTTATATCACTGATTTTTTCCCTTTTTTTGTGCAGCATGGTGACCCTCATATTTATATTTGCTGCCATCATCATCCTCATCTTGTCCCTGGCCTTCTCAAGTAAGACCTTAGGCTTATTCTGTTATTTGTTATTATACTGTCATAGCCTGATGGGGTGTGTTCTCTGTGTGTCTTTTAACACCTGTGGTTAATGATCTGACAAGTGTTTTAAAGTACATGTTTACATGTGTCGCTTCCTGTGAACACTGGATAAGTCTGTCATACTTTATAAAATATGAGTGAGGGGAGCAACCCTAATATTCTAAATCTCTGAACACAAAACATTTTTTTATTACATTTGAAAAATAAGAAAACTCAGCTCTGGAGAGAGGCTGCGATTCCAAAAAAAAAATACCCATGTTTCACTAGCCTGGTAAAAACCAGACCCTTGTCCTTCACTTTGCTTCGTACGAGGGTCTGAACTCATGGCTATAGAGATGTGATTCTTGCTGGAGGCGTGGCCTCTGCTGAAGTTTAAAATGATTGGATTGGCCACAACGTTTGTGTGCGCCAGCTCCACTGTGAAGGAGGCTAAGCTAAGATGCTAACCGGAAATCTTGTGCGCTGTAAACAACCCTACTGAGAGGAGAAAAGTATGTCCGGTCACACTGGTGCGACCGAGGGGGAGGGGGAGCGGCCGCCCGCTGAAACTAAAAGTTTTCATCATGTCCCATTAAAAATAATCCAGCAGTATCAATGGCCGCCCACCGACAGTCTTATCTCTCCTAATAACACAGCGCTCTGCTCGCGGGCTCCGCTCCACACCTCCCGTGCACACACGTTTGTTTTTCTATCCTCATGGGGACTTTGCATTGGCTTCCATTCATTTTCCCGTCAATTCTACAGTATAGCCAACCATAACCTCCCAGGTAGACTACACACCTGACCCAAACCCTAACCTCACCAGGCTGTGTACCGGGGAAATGGTCAATAATTGTACCCACCATAAAGCAAAAATCTGTACACAGACACACACGCGCGCGGCTCTTCGGTAGCAAAACAACCGTAGTTTTTGTCCTGATGCATCTCAGTAATCCAGGTAAAAAATCAAAAGAAAAAAATTGTATAGGTCCTCTGGACGGGTTCTTCTTTAATGAAACGTTTCGTCTCTCCTCCAAGAGACTTCTTCAGTCTGAGAGTTTCAGGCAGAATCCAGGATTGCCTGAAACTAGTTAGAGAGTTTGAGCAAACAGCAAGAAAGAAGGCGGACTACAGGAACCACCTAAGATTCAATC